TGACTAATAGTAGATATTAMTGAACCAGAACACAGTTCATGAAAACAAAAGGCAATACACAGGAGACTTGACAACTGCCATCTTTATTTCATGTACAATCAAGACAAAAGACATCTAGATCTAAAATAACCACACAATACACTAGGGAGCGCGTTTAACGAATCKTTATTTATTTGCGCTGCTGCCGTAAAATCAAGACAAAAGACACATCTAAATCTWAAATAACCACACAAGACTAAATGAAACTCGTTTGGAATCTTTATTCTCTGCGCCGCAGCAAAATTAAGATAGAAGACATTGTAAGGCTAAATTGAAAATACTGTAACAATATCAAACCCAGTACGCAAATGAACGTGTTTTCTAACGAGTTTATTATAAGAGCCTAAACTAAATATCAAGACAAGACGCACTGAAATGACCCGCAAAAATCTATAAACAACGTGGTTTCGAACGAATTCTATCGCTCAAAGCTGATTTATTTGACTAGTCAATATAAAAAAGCGACTTGACAACAACCAGCGGCGACGTTTTATATTTATCCTTTGCTTGAAGCTCAAAATAAAACACAATAAATTTTATTAATCATTTCGGAAATGTTTGAGATACGTACCTTTTGAGCATGGGACATTAGTTACCAAATCATTATTTCAAGCAGCACTCGTAACAGTTATAAAGTTAGTTACTATAGCTATCTATTTCACTTTCACCCTATAATCAACTCTTTTTGTCCTTTCAATAAACTCGATTTCCATGAAGTCTACGTTTAACACAAGCTCTAGCCCTTCCCGACATCKTTSMTCTGGGTTTAACAATTAAAGAACTAAACCAGCAGCTCTTTATTTCTTTCCTTAATTGTGGGTGGGACATTTTTTAACAAATTCCTCCTTCTTCATTAGGTAGCTTTTAATAACGTTGTTTGGCTTCCAAGTCTCTTGTKTATTACCTTTTGTTTTTAAGAATTGTTTTGGTTCAGTGATATCTACYRTTWSATACAAWKAGTCAGTAAATAAAAACTAATAGTTACTACTTCTTTGATTTTGTTTCACGGTGCAAGTGTGATGACTCTATAATCGTGTTACACTCGTTCGCCTATACACACACCCATGTCATATCCCATCTTTCTCAATTTTCAAAAATAGCTAGCCCGACTTCACGCTCTAAGAGCGTCTAGTTCTTATTTAGTATCACGTTAAGTCTATCTTAAGAGCTTACAAGAATTATATAAGMCGTTTTTGGCCATGAAAACGTTATATAAGCCTTTTTTGACCTTAGAAACGTTTTCCAGGAACAAAATTATTTTAAAGAAGGAAGCGCGCCACATTTGCTTATGACATTGTTAACAATGTAACTCAAAATCCCTTTCCCAGGAAGACATTTGTACAAGAACAGTTATTTAGAAAACCAAACTCCGTTGCCTCCTCCTGATCGATAATTAACGTTCAATTCTGCAATGCAACTCAGAAACTAGGAATAATTTTTTATGGTCACTATATATTGTTGTGTTCAATGATTTGATGATGTTCGTCACGTTTACTTTTTCTCTGGGTGTATACGACGTTCCTGCATCCAAAAGGCGACTATGAATCTTGTAGTTTTTTTATGAGGGGGGTCTTTCCCTTGGTGATGGATGACATTGCATTAAACAAGCATGCATTATTGTGAATCTATCAGTTTCGGTTGTTTATCTATAAAGGTTTCGCTTGACCAAGTTAGGTCTGGCCATAGATACCGTATTTACTCGAATAGACGCCGCGATTTATTTTATTTTTCCACGGTCCAGGTTCGGCGTTTATTCGAGGGCGGCGTCTTTTCGGGGGCGGCGTTTATTGAAAAACACTTTATTCAGTACTAAATACCGTACTTTACATTGCATCTTTTTACTAACAAACAGTAACGATTCTCAATATATAAATGTCGTGCTCATTTTGTCGATTCAATTTGTGATAATGTCCTCCTCGTGGTCGGAATCTAACAGCTGCTGAGAGCAAAAAAAGTAGTCACTTCGAAATAAAAAATTGCTGGTATCATTATTTTCGCACCCAGATGCGGCGTCTATTCGGGGGCGGCGTCTATTAATATTTTGAGCTTTAAGTGCGGCGTCTATTTGAGGGCGGCGTCTATTCGGGGGAGGCGTCTATTCGAGTAAATACGGTATGCAACTTTAGTGTAGCAAAGTTTGATATGGGAAGCGCTATTATCTCTTTTTTTACTTCACTCTAACAAGTGAATCAAAGTTCAAAACGTTGTCATTTTATTCAGAGGTTGTCAGTATAAAACCTTCTTGAAAAAAATGCTGGTCAACACAGGAATCCCGGCCCATTAAAAAAATATATCCGTCCTATTTGTTTACAGATTACAAGTTCAAAAACATTTGACGTCATTTGCTTAGTTTCCGGAATTTTCTTTTTTTATCAAATTCCGTTTTCATTGCCCTAATTCTCCTAGATCCCAATTGTCTGGATTTCCGATTCAAGGGCTAACTTTTGCCTACAACTATCGCATGCAACATGCGCAAGTCATCCTTACAACATGGCTACCACTGTCGTAGGGTTGTCAAACAATTGTTTTTAATCTCTACGACAGTTGTAGCCATGTTGTAAGGATGACTTACGGATGTTGCATACAGTAGTTGTAGGGAAAAGTTGTACCGTCTAAATCGGCCATAACAGAGAGAAGTATTCCAGTTGTGGACAGCACTCGCTATGTTACATTTTCAGTTAAGTCTGCTATTTTTCAGACAGATATCGTTTCTTTCTTGGAGACATTTTGAACACCGACTTAGGAGAATTCAGGTAGTTACAGGTTATTGTAGAAATGTTGGAAAATAAAGTATTGTGGAGACTTCTGAATGTTCCTGTTAATAGCAAAAAAGGGTTATTTTTTGTGATTTATGTTTGCTCGTAATTATTCTTCTAGAAAATTACTTTAATTACTGGAAAGTAGATTTATGATCAGTTGAAATGTAAAATTTACGGA